AGTCTTCCGCCCCACAGTCCTTCTGTAATTCATCATAGTGCTGAATGCACTTCGCTGTCCTGCTCCTCCATGTGCATAAGGCTGCATGAAGGATGGATAGTACCAGCCCACCTAGGCTGAATTTCTCTATGTGTATACACTATCCATACATGTTCACATGGCAGAGAGGTGAGCTGTCAGCCTGTTGGGAACAGAGGGTGTGGTGTTGAATTATTACCGCGTTTTCAGCACAAAGCCGCCAGGAAGGACAGAAGGAGAGGAAAAAGGGACGCGGGGATAGAGGACCAGGGAGGGGTGGGGATATTTGACACAAAGGAGAAGATAAAAGGATGAAGAGTGAAGGAGGATGCAAGAGATAAAGGAGGAGGGAGAAAGAGGACATGGAGGAGGGACTGATGGGAAATAAGATGATGAAAGAGAGCGATGAGGTTAAGGCATTAGAGGAGAGCTGAGATGGCTTTAACACTGTCAAGGACATCTCTGCTAATTCATCTGTTTTCTGTTTGTGCTCTTATTTCTTAGGACTGCAGTTAGCAGTGGTTTATTACTCCATGGATTTTTTTGACTGATTAATTTCAATTAGATTTTTTTTCTATGAAAAGAAAACAAAGAAAAACAGCAAAGTTGGAACTATAGGTTATGACATTTAATTTTTACAAATCGATCAGTTATCAAAACAGTAAAAATTGACTATTTTGCACAAATGCTCAACAATCATACCTGGCATTAATTAATTTCTGAAGCAGATGAATTATCAGTCTCTTTACCAGCCGGTTTTTCTTTGTCCTGCAGTTTGTTACGAGGTGCTGAGGAGATGGGACTGAGGAAAGCAGTGAAGCCTGAGTTTGGAGGAGGAACACGAAGCTTCTCCTGCGAGGAAGACTACATTTACGAGAACATTGAAAGCGAGTTGTGCTTCTTCACCTCTCAGGTGAGCATCATTGATTGATTTTTGATTTGATTTGATTTATTCTTTCAAGCATGCAAAGACAGTTGATATGACAACACACATAATTTTACACATATCCAACAAATGCTAATCCAATATCAATGTGCTTATACCTAGTACATGCTTGAATGGAGTAGGAAGAAGTCAGACTTATCCAGTCCTACCCCATGACATCATCTTACCATCATTGGTTTGCAAGCAGTAAATAATTCTCTTCTACACCACACAAGTAATATACTAAAAAATTATAACTGTTAACATTCTTACATAATTACATTCTTAAATAATTATCTTCTACACCACACAAGTAATATACTAAAGAATTATTACAGAGTGTTAACATTCTTACATAATTACATTCTTAAATAATTATCTTCTACACCACACAAGTAATATACTAAAGAATTATTACAAAGTGTTAACATTCATACACCACACCCACAATGTTCCATCTAATTAATCATTAAGCCTGTTCTTG